ACAATTTGGAAGCCACACAGAAGAAAGTGCCACAAATGGGTGACAAGTTCATAATGAGGCAGGCTGTTTAGAGCTTTAAAGGAAGCTAGTGCAAGTCTTTCACGTTTAATATTATCCTGCTACAGTTTTCCAGTTAGCAGCCTGACAGCCACATTCTGCGTCAACTAAAGATTTCTCTGAAGCTTTTCAAGGGTAGCTGACATAGAGTCCATTGCAAGAGTTCATGATTGCATCATGCTTAGCTCTAGATCACCCAGAAATGGCTTTGTCTATTACATCGAAGGTATTGGATCACTTTAACATCTCCAAGGATATAAAGTCTATCACATTCTCTTTCTGTATGCTTATGTGATATACAAACTTCAAATACATTAGGAGAGGAGCAGGTTCTGATTACATTACTTGCTTCTATATCAGGAATGGTGAGCCACCAGCCTGTAGACTTTATTCAGACTATGAAGAATACCAACCCAGCTTCCTTAGATTCTTGTAAGGAGTGAAGTTTGCCAGGAATGGGAGGCCCAGCTCCTTCCAATATGATTCATCTCATCCACCATACCTAAGAGGACAACGTGTGATATAAGAAGAATGGCTTCTGTACCAGGTGGAAGTGGCGCGGGTGGAACAGTGCAATTCACCACTCCTTCCATGCCACCGCCTGAAGTGGGCAATGCATGCAGCTTCATGGGAGGGCCAAACCTGCCACTGGAATGGCTCCACCTGCACTGGGCCTTTCCAGATCAGCAGGACACAGAACAGGTAAAGTGTCCCTAGCGCAAGTGGTAGTTGGATCACCCCTGCTGAATCTTTGGCTGTTGAAAGCTTTGCAGAAGCAGCCGCAATGAAGACAGAAGGACGAGTTCTTCTCTAGCTGTCTCACTTGGAACAGTTTCTCAGTGCATGAGCTTTACCCAACAAGGGAAAGTCCATGTGCAACAAAAACAATTCCTGGCCAAAACAGCAGCTAGAGCTCTGGGTACCAAATAATAGCACCTTAAATGCTCCAAACTCCGAAAGTGTTTCCTGCTCCTGCAGTACAGGAACACTGTGTAATGTCAAAGTCTTTCACTGAACTGGATCTTCTTGAATCCACGTCAGCAACTCATCAGAACAGTTCCATGTCACCTACTCTTCACATCGAAGAAACACTGCTGAACTTGATTTTTCCTGCTCCAATATAACCAGTTAATACATGATATTTCTCCTTTCCTCTTATACCTTGAACTGAAGACAAATCATTTCTAAAAATGTGAGCTAACACTAGATGGACTAGGATTCTTAATTCCATAATCATAGCATTTTCCACCTCATCCAACCTATGAAATTTGAACAAAAACAATAAAATCCCACATTCTGCCACATTTTCATGAGCATAAAATGAGAGGCTGGGAAATCAAATGGAAAAACAAACATTAAGTCACTCATCTGCACAGACAGCATAGGGCGAATGGAAGAGAAAAGGCATAGAACTCTAAGTTCATACATAAACATTACTAATACCTGAATAAAAATATATATTCTTCCCAGTCAACTATCTGGTAGGCTACAATTCCATGCTGTACTACGAATGAGCATCTTAGGGCTCATATTAGTTATGGATGATGAGGAAATTCCTATTTTTTGCTTCAAATGGCACATTGACCTCTCATGTGGAAGATTAGCAGAGGTGATTCTGCAAGATTAGATAATGAAATGTTCCAGCAGCTCTTCCCCCACACTGAAAAATAGGAAGCAAGGAAGTTCAATGCACTAAATTCTACTTCCTTTCTTTCTTTTTTCTCCTCAAATTCTGTGCAGCTCAATCCTGGGCATGATTACACAGAAATAAATGCCACTAAACTCAAACAGGTGCATTTTCTAGTGTTTTCAGGATCATGGCTTATGCCAAGTTCAAGCCCATACATTTTTATAACCCTATTTATATCTAACCAATTTCTAAAAGTTAGGCTGGTGGCTATTTCTACAGCCTGGAATATAAAAGGGACCCCGATCATCTTATACTTTATCACAGTGTATCATTAAGGCTTTTAAGAACTGACTAGAACCTAAAACATTTAGAGAATGCCATAGCATTTAAAGCATTTGTTGAGCAAAAACACTCAATGAAATGAATGGATTTTAGGAATTGATGGAGCAGACTATCTCTACTTCATGTCAGTATCACATTTGATAATTTATAAATCTGCATGAAATACATATTCACTTTGAACATATACAGGGCTCCAGATGTATTTTTTTCACAAAGCTAAACGAGTTTTACCCTAAACTATGCATTTCATATGTATTAGGTTTGAATTTCTAGCTTAAAACCACATCACACAGTTCAGAATGTGAAATCTTGAGATTAGCTATTACCAATCCACACATTAATCCAGGAAGCACAAATAAGGCTATTTTGCTTTGAAACATGGACAAAATGAAATCCTTCAGCATCCCTAATAAAGACCCTTCTATATGCTCTAAAATATCTAGTTTAGCATGAGACTATGCACACATGGCATACACATCAAAGAATTACTTCTGGAACACCTAGGATTTACTAAGTTTGCGATAATCACCTACAGTAGCTAGCCTATTCACATGGTCCAGATACCATAAATGATGTCACAGAATGTTCACGGGTACATGAGATGCTCCCGTACAACTACACAATTGTTACTAGTGAGTTTGCTGTAGGTTACCATGGAGTTTTGGACCGTTTCAAGTGCAGGAGCTACAAGTGAATTGCACATCAGAAAATCCAAGTTCAAGCCATGCCTCAACTCTGAACTCTAGGTGGCTGCAGACCACTATTCCTATTTCCTCCATAGCATTTATGTCTGCAGTGGTGCCAATCCCTTTAAAGGCAATTGTAATAACACTACTCCTAAAGAAACCAGGACTAGACCTGGGTGATGCAAACAACTTTAGACTAATAGCCAATATTCCCTTCCTGGGCAAGGTGACTGAGCAGGTGGTATGCCAGCAGCTCCAAGCACTTTTGGAGGAAACAGATTATCTAGACCCATTTCAATCTGGATTTCAACCTGGGTTTGAGACAGACTGCCTTGGTCACCCTGTGGGATGACCTTTGCCAGGAGAGAGACAGTGGAAGTGCGACATTGTTGATCCTCCTGGACCTCTCAACAGCTTTCAATACCATCAACCATGGCATCCTTCTGGAACAATAAGCCAGATTGGGAGCTGGGGGCACTGCCTTGTGGTGATTCCACTCCTACCTGGCTGACCAGTTCCAGATGATGGCACTGGGGGACTGTCACTCTGCACCATGGTAACTGCGTCATGGAGTTCCACAGAGTTCAATTTTGTTTCCTCAAGTACCCTGGGACCAGGGTACCTGAGGAAGAGCCTCTCTCCATATACACCTACCTGCCCACGTAGATCTTCCTCTGTCCTCTTCCAAATACCCACCTCCCATGAAATCAAAGGGGAAAGGGCTAGGAGTCAGGCATTTTCTGCACTGGCACCTAGACTCTATTATTCACTCCCCAGGGACATACAGCTGGTGTTGACTTTGCGCTTTTAGATGCCATGTAAAAACTTTTTCATTTAAACAAACTTTGGTTAATTTAAATTGTATTTTGTTATCGTTTATTTAATTTTACTTGTTAATTTATCTAGTATTTGGTCGTGTGTGTGTGTGTGTGTTTAATATGAGATGTTTTAACAATTAATTTTATTGTTTTATTTGATGGTTTCAGCATTTTAAGCCACTCAGAGAACTCTCAGGTTATAGGGCAGCATAGAAGTAGAAATAAATAAATAAATACACTAAAAAAATAAAAATTACATCCCTTGCATTTAAAAGGCTTTCATGTTTTAATGTGAACAAAAAACAGAAACTAGGACAGGAATGTGTTTCACTCTTAAAAGCTTTAACTGAGTTCCACAGGACATTATTGCTTTACTAGCCTCAGTGATGGATAGTACAGGAAGGAGTAATAAGGAGAAGAAAACCATTGCTCATCAAAGCCTTCAGGTAGTGGAAATTTTATTGACCTATGTTATAAGGCTCTTATAAGGATTTTTAAAGGTAATATATGTGAAATGTTGCAAAAATGCAAAGTAAATCGCAAGTATTTTTTATGATGGTCCACGCATTCCCATCTAATTGGGAATGAAAGACTGCAATAGAATTGCCAGAATTGGAGCCCATTCAGCCAACATTCCAAAACAAGGTGTGGGCAACTTGTTGCTGTCCAGAACTTCCATGATCATCAGCTAGGGATGACTAGAGTTGTAAACCAAAATATTTGAACTTGAACCCAAGTTGGCTACCCTCCTCTGTATGAACCCACCAAATGACATATGCATTCTATGAGCATAACTAATAGATGGATAGATGTTCACACCTGATCTTTGATAATTAAGTTGACAAACTCTCTTCTCAGGGATCCCAACTGAGATATCAATTAATCATACCCCCTCCTCCCACCAAGGTAGGGAATCAGAAACAGAAACCATATTATGGTGTGCCTTAAAGATGATGTAAGTATCACAATATATAGTCATCAAGCACCTGTGCTCCAGCAACTCGCCCACCGGACAGCAGACATGGCAGATCCAAAGCGACAGTTGTCAGGGAGCACCCAACTCTAAAACTAGTTTCTCCGTCACGTATTACTTCATGATTTCCTTTTTCACAAGGTAGCTACAGCAAGACTTTCCAACCTAGATTTCCACCTTGTGTGAGAAAAAGGGCAGGCTAAATTGACTCGAGAAGGCACTCTGCATATTCTCAGAGGAACTCTCCTACCACACTGAGGACTGAAGCCCTCCTAAGGAACTCTGAGCCCAGCTGTTGAGAAATCACTCCAAAGACGGAGAAAGGAAGAGCGACAGGTATGGGTGGGGAAGGGGAAGAGAGTTACACGCTCGGTGTTTCTACATACAGGAGTGACAAGCAGCAGCAGCCCGGACGAGTCAAACTGGCCCGAGAGAAAGAGAAAATAAGCGCGGCGGCGGGAGGGGAAGGGAAGGGAAAAGGAGCGGAACTCTACCTGCAGCTCTGCCCGCTCCGCCTCCCACTCGGCTCTCTCGGCCTCGAAGCGGCCCCACTCGTGCTGCAGGAAATGCAGGATGCCGGGGACGCTGTACTGAGCCCGCGCTGCAGAGGCCGGAGCAGGGGCCGCCGCGGCGCCGACGCCACCGCCGCCAGCAGCCGCCGCGGCCGCCGCAGCAGCTGCCGCCGCTTCGCCCGGCTCCAGCCCCGGCCCGGCCCCGCCCGGAGGCGGCGGCGGCAGCAGCGCCTTGTTGTTGTTGTTGTTGAAGAAGACGCCGGGCCCCGCCTGCTCGTCCATGGCCGGAGCCGTCGTCGCGGCCGGAGGAACCCCAGCCCCGCCTGGGCAGCCCCTGGAGCCGACGCGCGCACCCCGCCAGGCAGCTGAACTGGCCGCCTCTCAAGCAGGAGAAGCAGCAACACACTGGGCGCGTCCCGCCGCCGTCAACGCCTGACAGCCGCCCCCGCCGGCTGCTACTGGGCCTCGCGAGGGACAACTGCGGAAGGCGCGCCGACGCGTGGCATGCCGGGAAGTGTAGTTCCCGGGTTATTTTCCGATTTCTAAACTGAAAGCCGGAGTGTAGAGGAGTTTGCAAGAGTCAGTTGAATCCGCCGCGGGTGGATGGTTTAGAAAATTCTTAGGTTCCTGTTGCCCCCTTTCTGGCTGCTTTCTCTGCGTCTTCTTAATATGCATCCATGAAGAAGGCTGATATTTTTATTGGTCAAGGAAATAAAAACAAGCTGTGCTGTACAATATCCGATGCTTACATGATGAATGAAAATACTTTTCCGGAATTAATCGATGTTCTAAACTTTTAGATACTGTTCAGTACAAAAGCAAAAGGCAACATAGAAATGCTTCGATTTTTTAAAGGCATTTATAACAACAATATTTCTTACCAACGTGCATATAACCTTGCAAGCAAGTACCTTGTGTTACTACCCAATAATTTGGTTCCAAAGCTAAAGTGCAATAAATATTGCTGTTTAATAAATAAATATTCTCTATGAGCCTTAGTCAAGTTTGAATTTCAGGGTCTGACCCCACCACTAGGCATGGTGAGGGGCCACCTTCCATGCTGACTCCCCCACTCTTTCCCCAGCTGTTCACACCCTCACCTGCCCTGAGCCTCGCTGCCATCCCTGCCTTCCTGAAATGGTACCTTGGTTTTGGCAGTGCTTTGAACTGGAGTAGGCTGTGTGGCTGCCTAGTCACCTTCTCTCAGAATTACACAGATCGCAGGACCGGGAGGTGGTCCTGATCCAGTGAGCCAGTAAGAAGCCAGCCCTGGCCTTGGACTCCAACGGGCATTGTATGGCTCTGTTCTTGTGAAGTACATTAGCAGTGCAACAATTGTTTGTGCAAGAAGCCAAACAGGAAAGGAATGGTGAGGGATGCGTTGGAGACTGGCAAGGAGCAGCAGAGAAGTGTTAGAGCTGAGTGAGCTAACCTGTTCTAAAGAGCCTAAGTTAGCCTGCTGCCTGCAGGTGATATGGAGGACACTGCCCCATCACCACTGTTGAAAACATCTTCATCTGTAAAATTGTACAGTTTGTTTCTGTACAATGGGCTTTGCAGCTAGGGTGCCATCTTGGCCTTCAACTCAGGCAACAAATGCCTTAAGCAGATGTGAACTTAATTTGATTGCACCCAGCTCAGACAGGAAATGGGGGAGGGGGCGGGAGTCCACTGGGGCTGACTCAACCCTTTCTATTTTTTCATGTCTTTTTTACTAGCATGGCAAGGGTGCTGGGATTTTTCTCAGAATGCTTCCGGGCCCTGCTCCATCACATAAAACGTGTAACGAACTCTTTTAAAAGAGAGATTGAGAAATGAACTCTTGTGCTCCCACTCCAGCTGGTAAGCTTGCCAAGGGTGACACCTACTCAAGGCGCAGTGGGTGGTCCAGTCAGCACCTTGACCAAAGCTGACGTACATATTGGATCAACCCTACCAGATGTATGGCAAGGAAGTTATTAACATTCAACAGCTGGTAGAGTGCATTTTCCCAGAGTCTATAAGCTATAATAGTTTTCTGGAGTCATGCCAAGGCCTTATGGCATTCAGCTTGTTAGCTGCTTTCGCCAAGCAGGTTCCTTAGATAAGTTCTGGTCAGAAACACTTGTGCCACAAGGCATTCTGAATCTTTTAAAAAGCCACAGGAGTCCTAGTTGTGGGAAGGCTTTACTGTAGGGTTAGGACTAGGGTACTGGAACCATGTGGTAGATGTATAAAGCATCTAATGCTAGTTTGTATTATTTATACCTGGTATTAAATGCCTTTGTTCTCCAAACTGAACAAAATCTATTGGTAGGTAACTAAATAATGTATCTTGTACCGAACTTCTTAAACTTTATTGTATTATCAGCGTGTCTATTCTGGTTTACTTATCCAGTGTGTACCATTCACTTTGAAGATGCTTACAAATTAAAATTGAACTCCTTCTTTACTCCGTGGTGACTATTGTGAAAAACAGTCAAGTTGTTCTTAACACAATGGTGATCATATACTATCAACAGGAGAACAGGTCCCTCCTCCAAAGAACTTACAGACTGGCACTTGACATAGGATACATCAGCAACAGGAAGAAGAGATGGAGGTAGGGACAAACAGGCTGGTGTATGTATTTATTTCAGCTGGAGGTGCTTAAGCTTAGTTGCAGCAGGGTACAGAAACCAAGGGATTGTGGGTTTTGAGAAGGGTTTTAAAATAAATTAATATGTGTGGGATGAAATGAAAGGTAAAGTGTTGCTAGGTAGCAAATCCGTGTTGCTAGTTGGCACATGTTCCATATTACACAGAAATGTATTGTGGCCTCAAGACATGCAGTCACTCAGCCATTCTGGTTGCTGAAAGCAAGCCTGACCTGCAGAGCTCCAACAACATTTGTGATGTGTTAACATGTGTAACACTGTAGCATAAAAATGCATCCCCTCCTTTTGCCCCAAATCCCTCCTACAGATTTTATGGCTATAGCTACAAGTGAGCATACCTAAATCCACTCATCTGAATCAATGTTTAACCCTGCAGAAGGTCAACATGTAGACTGTCCCTTTATTCCAAGGGACCGTGACAAAATGGCAGCCTTTGTGGCAGCGGTCTTAGAAGCAAAGTCCCACCAAACAGAAAGGCACCCAATGTTCTCAGTTGCATGGAGATGTACATGATTTCAGAGGTGGGCCTGCTGTGGAAGTGCATTTGCTACACCAGCTGTCTTCTTCCCTAAATCGAATTGTCTGGTTTAAAAAGAAGCTGGATTTGTACAGACCCTGATTGGCTCACTGTTGTGTAAACTGTAAAACTACATCCTATTCATGGCAACACTGGGAACAGTGCCTCTGTTACAAGCCCAGCCATCAGATCCTTAAAATGATTAAAAGCAGAGGCAGGGGAGATAGTGAAACACCAAATAACCCTTTGGCTAATAACCATATTGCTTTCTTAAAAATAAAACTAAAATGAAGGATTAAATCTACTGAATTGATCTTCTGTAAGCAGATCCAGGTTGGGGACAATTTCCCCCCACCCTCCAAGTTTGCTGTTGAAGGGCTGCTAGACTCTGCAGCAGTAGAACAAATGTTGCAAAAGCACAGCTGGTGCAGGAGGAAGGAGAGAGAGAGAAGATGTCCCCAGCTCACATTTAGATTCCACCCAAAAGTGTTTCCTGCTGGGCAACTCCTGCTGCTTTCCAGGCCTTTCCATTCTAAAATACACATGGAATTGCTGCTGACTTTCTGCATTGTTGGAAATATTGTACTTTAGCCTTGTGTGCATCCCATATGAGATTTGAATTTGAATTTGGCAATTTGAAGCTCAGCATGAATTCAACACAATCATTGTGGTAGGTGCCAATTATGACTCAATTGGTTTTAACTGATGCTAGATCACTTGTCCAACTTTTAAAATAATATTATTTCTTTGTATTATTTTAAAATATTATTGATAATAATATAAAACATGTTATTAAAATTAAAAGTAAAATATTATTTATTTTCTATACTGCCCTATAGATGAAGCTATCAGGATGGTTTATACAGTCCATAAATACAGACAAAAATACTATTAAAATATCAGAAAATCAGAAAAAAAAGTAAAACAGATTAAAACAGCTAAAGATGGTAAAGATGGAGAACAGGAAAAAATAACAGAACAGCTATGCAAAACACCTAGTGATCCCCCTTAAGCCCCTGGGTGACCAAATAAGTCTTTAAAGGCCTCAGAGAAGAGGGCCATCTTAACTAGTGCCAAAGAGATGGCAAGTTGGGCCTGTAGTGGGAGGTAGTTCGATAGATGAGGGACCACCACCAAGAAAGCCCTGCCCCTTGCTGCTGCCCTCCTTGCTTCCCCCAGAGTTGGTACTCAGGGGAAAACCCAGGAGGTTGAGTGTAGTGTCCACGTAGATCACAGATGGGTGGGGGGATGTAGCACCATATCACTATATACAATAATCTTACTTTTCAGTGTATTTTTTCACACATATACAGAGTCTTTCTGTTCACTACCAGAATAGTGATAATCAGTAATCACCAGAAAGTTTTAAAAACATTTTAAATTAGCATGTTTGTGGAATATTATAGTACCCCAATAGAGAAACAGTCCTTTACCATACCAAAAAAGTACAAATGCAGTACAATAACATCATATTATAATGTTAACTTTTATATTACGGATAGTGCTATAACATGGTAATAAAATGATTGTTATAGTTGATTTATTTAGGATGCAATCTTTTAAACCTTCCAAACTTGCAGGATTACAGGTATTCTGTGCAGTGGCGAAAGAAAGAAGGAAAGATGGCTTGCGAACACTTTTGTACTTAAGTTCATCCATCTGAATGTTGTGCCTCTTTGGCCTGTGGCAGTGCCTGTCCCCTTGTCCCTCCCACCCGCAAAGCAGCTGCTGCATTCTTTCCATGCAGGCTGCAGATGGATAGGGTTTTCTGAGCTCAGAGTCCCAGCTCTGACCTCGGAACAAGTCTCTGAGGTCAAGGCTGGACCTTGGAAGTATGGCCACCACTATGTTGTCTAGTGACCACACAATCGCACTGCCTGCTGATGTTCTCTTTTTAAAAAATCCTCAAATGTTAATGGCTTCTTGCACCAGTTTGTCTGACATTTGACAAACTTCATCCTTTCGCGAGTACCTACAGATCTCATGAAATTCTGCCCAAGAGAAAGTGATAGGTGATAATCTATTTTCCCATTTTAATCAATGGGGAAGTCATCTCAGACTTAGGACAATGAAACAGTGTCCTGCCTTGACTCTGAGCCAAAGTGTGTCCTCAGTGGTTGAGGCAGCCCAGTACTAAAAACCAGAAGCCATTGCTCAGACTTATAACCCTGCAACTGAGAATGAAGAAAATCACTTTAATTACAATGCCGCAGTTTGAGCAGTTTTGAAATGGAGACATGAGAACATGTTTTAGTAAAACATAAGCTAAAATGTGCACACCTG